ACAGCTCACAGCAACCTCAAACTCTTGGGCTTAAGCAATTCTCTTGCCTCAGCCTCCTAAGTAGCTGGAACTACAGGCACCTGCCACAACGCCTGGCTATTTTTAGAGACAAGGTCTCACTCTTGCTCAAGCTGGTCTTGAACTCATGAGCTCCGGCAATCTACTCACCTCAACCTCCCAGAGTATAAGGGTTACAGGCATGAACCATTGACCCCAGCCTATTTTTTTTTTCTTGAGACATAGTCTCACTTCGTTGCCCTCCGTAGAGTGTGTGGCATCATAGCTCACAGCAACCTCAAACTCTGGGGCTAAGTGATTCTCTTATCTCAGCCTCCCAAGTAGCTGGGGCTACAGGCATCTGCCACAACACTCAACTAGTTTTAGAGATGGAGTCTCGCTCTTACTCAGGCTGGTCTCCAACTCCTAAGCTCAGGCAATCCACCCTCCTCAGTCTCCCAGAGTGCTGGGATTATAGGCGTAAGCCACCATGCCCAGCCTGGTTATTATTTAAAAAAAAAAAAAAAAAGCCAGAAACCAACAAGTTTTGGCAAGGAAATGGAGAAATATGAACATTGCTAATGGGAACATAAAATGTGCAGCTGCTGTGAAAAATAGTTAGATGGTTCCCCAAAAAGCAAACATAGAATTCCCATAGGCCTCAGCAATTCCACTCTTAGATATATACACAGAAGGACTTAAAACAGGTATTCAAACAAAAACATGTACACTTATGTTCACAGCAGCATTATTCACAATAACAAAAAGGTGGAAACAATTGACATGTCCATCAGCAGGTGAACAGGACACCGCCACGTAGTCCGTCCAGGCAATGGCAGAATATTCGGCTGGAAAAACAATTCAGGTCCTGACACTACAACATGGAGGAACCCAGAAAACATCATGCTGAAAGGAAAAAGCTGGACATGAAAGATCACAAACTGTGTGATTTCATTTCTATAAAGCATCCAGGATAGAGAAATCCACAGACAGAGAGCAGAGTAGTGGCTGCCAGGGTCAGAGGGATGGCAAATTGGGCAGCAGCTGCTAAATGACAGGGATTTCCTCGGGGGGAGATGAAACTGTGTTGGAAGAGGTGATGTTTGCACAAGACCATGCATGTACTAAATGGATCTTTAAACAGTTAATTTTGCATTATGATAATATCACCATAATATTTTAAAAGTCCTTAGGTGGCACCTGTGGCTCAGTGGGTAGGGCGCCGGCTCCATATACCGAGGGTGGCGGGTTCAAACCTGGCCCCAGCCAAACTGCAACAAGAAAAATAGCTGGGCTTTGTGGTGGGCGCCTATAGTCCCAGTTACTCGGGAGGCTGAGGCAAGAGAATCGTTTACGCTCAAGAGCTGGAGGTTGCTATAAGCTATGTGATGCCACGGCACTCTACTGAGGGTGATAAGGTTAAGACTCTTGTCTCTACAAAAAAAAAAAAAAAAGGCCAGCCTCTACCCTGGCCCCAGCACAGTGGCTCACACATGTAATCCTAGCACTCTGGGAGGCCAAGACAGATGGATCACCTGAGCTCAAAAGTTCGAGACTAGCCTGAGCAAGAGCGAGACCCCATCTCTACTAAAAATAGAAAAATTAGCTGGGCTTCCTGGTGGGCATCCGTTGTCCCAGCTACTCAGGGAACTGAGGCAAGAGGATCTCCTGAGCCCAAGAGCTTGAGGTTACTGTAAACTATGATGCCATGGCACTCTAGTGACAGAGTGAGAATCTGTCTCCAAAAAATAAAGATAAAAAAAGGTCCAGCCCCTGGGCCCAGGGCTCAGTGGGTAGGGTGTCAGCCCCATATACCTAGGGTAGCAGGTTTGAACCCAGCCAATTGAACAGCAACAAAAAACAGCCGGGTGTTATGACAAGTGACTCTAGTCCCAGCTAGTCAGGAGGCTGAGGCAAGAGAATTGCCTAAGCCCAGGAGTTGGAGGTTGCTATGAGCTGTGACACCACAGCACTCTACCAAGGGCAATAAAGTGACACTGTCTCTAAAAAAAAAATAAAAATAAAAGGGTCCAGGCCCCAGCATTTGCATACCAGCATAAGCCTCCTCCCATGGTGTTCCCTCAGCCTGGCCTCCAAGTTACTCCACTGTCCAGTGCTGCCTAGGCTCCAGCCACACTGGCCACCAGCTCCTAAACCCACTGGCCATTTCTTCACTCCAGATCCAAGTTTCCTTCTGTTGCCCTCACAGATCCCAAGTGATCAGTGACACCTACTCAGGGCTCACAGGGCCTTCTGAACCTTGTCCTGCCATAAGCCTGACTTTGGCACATGGTGTCTGAAAGCTGTCACATCTCAACAAGGGCACATCATCCTTTCTGAGAACCTCTGTGTGTCTTGCTCAGAGGGACTCACAGCCACTCTGCTGAGTATGGCCAGTCCCTATGCATCAAGGAAGGTGAAGTGTGCTAGCTATGCAGCTCCCTGCACTCATGCAGCCTCTAGGGGACTGTGCACTCGGTCCCAGCCCAGCGCTGGGTCCCTAGGTTCCACTCAGGGAAAGTCTGCAAGTCGATGAACTTGTGTCCAGCCCACACTGGAGAGGCATCTCAGCTAGAAGGGTCATTTATCTAATAATGAGGTGGCCCAGGTCCCATGAGCCACACAAACACACAGCCTAGGGTAGCCCAGAGGTCAGCTCCAGGAAATAGTGTCACACTAGTATCTGTACACTCAGTCAGAGTGAAGACACGCTCCTTGCTTCTGTCTATACCCTCATACTCTCTGGACACTGAAGCTACCCTGGGGGGCCTGCCTCAACCCTGCTAACCAGGATCTGGCTCTGATCAGGCTCCCCACAAAACCCTGGGAACCCTGCAGTTTAGCAGTGTGAAAGGATGCTTATCTAGGCCAAAAAAGGGCTTTTGCCTTTGGGGGCCTGGTACTCCACATACTTCTTCCTGCCTAGGACCCAGGGAAATTGGAAGGCCCCAGAAGAGGATATCCTTATGGCTTAGTGCCCAGAGAGAGACCTCTGTTTTATCCTACCCACAAAACTTCACACCCCCAGGCCCAGGATAGTCTCAGCCCAGCCCTCACCTGACAGAGGATCCCAGCACCAGCCTCAAGCCCAGCCCTCAGGCCCTGCTGGACCTGCCTGGGGCACCTGGGGAGGCATGGGGTCTTGTGGTGGGCCCAGCAGGGATAAAGAGATTACTGGCAGAGGAAGAGACACTGTTATAGGCTGAACTGCGTCCCCCAAATTTTTGTGTTGAAGTCTTAAGCCTGGTACCTATGAATGTGACCATCTGAGGAAATACGGTCTTCAAAGATGATCAAGTTAAGATGAAGTCATTAGCGACAGCCTTAAAACACTATGATTGTCCCCCAAAACATTATGATTATCCCAAAAAAACCCACTATGATTGTGTCCCTATAAAAAAGGGAAATTGGGGCACAAAATCACACAGGGAAGAAGACAGGCAAAAACTGGAGCTTTGCTGTCACAAGCCCAAAAACTAGCAGAAGCTGGAGAGAGGCTGAACAGATCCTTCCCCAGCACCTTCAAAGGAAGCTTGACTGTGTCAACATGACTGCAGTCTTCTGGACCTCATGACTGTGAGACAACAAATCTCTGCTGTCCTGAGCCACCCAGTTTGTGACGTGTTGTTACAGCAGCCCTAGGAGACCACCATAGGCATGTTCTGCTCTATCTGCCACTCTCTCTCCAGACCACAGCCAGCCACGAGAGGCTCAGGACCCTACACAGGCCACAGCCACTGTTGGGTGGTCACTTCCTGCCCTGACTGCCTGGGAGTCAGTGCTCAGCTTCCTGGGGGCCGGTGAGAGGACGAGCTTAGGAGGGACAGGAGGGGCAGCATCCTTGGGGCTGTCCCAGAGCCTCCACCTGCCATCCCTGGAGCTGTCCCTAAGACGCTGTCCTGCTGTCCCTGGATCCATCCCTGGCCTCCACCTGTGGTCCCTGGAGCCCAGAGAGCCCAGGGCTGCCCAAAACCTACCCTTCATACCTCCCCTGGTTCCTCTTCAGCCATTAACACTTTGAAATAGCCATCATGTCCTTTTAATATCATGGAAAAAGTACCTCGGGAAGGCACAGAGTCATGGTGTCTCACCAGTGTCCCCTGGGCCCAGGCTGGTCCTTTAAGGTGGTGAGGGCAAAACAGGCTGTGGGGCCACAGTCCTCTTCTCAGAGAGGACGGGGTAAAGCCAAACAGCAGAGAGGGGCAGCCAGGGGGCTGTGGGCAGAATGCTGAGGGCAAAGGCCCCGCCCCCAAGGTGCTGAGTGAAGAGGGTGAGGAGACATCTCCAGCCTCCACCCAGACAGGACCTCTGACCAGGAGGTGCCCCTTCCCAGGAGGTCCAGGTTCAGCCAAGGGTCGCCTCCAGCGACTTTAGTCCATTTTCTCCTAAATGGACAGGATGCAGCTGGCAGAGTCAGGGTTCTCAAACTTTCAGGCCTGCTGCCTGACAAGGTCAGAAGGGGGCATAATCCCCCAGGGGTCCTCATGCAGCCTGTGCCTCTGACTGTCCCCAGGCTCCTCCTTGCCAGGTCTCAGGGTCCTGCTAGCTGCAAGAAAGTCCAGAGGGCAAGGCCGGGATGAGCCCAGGGATCTGCAAGTTTCCTGGGAAGGCTGAGGGGTAGTGCCCTTCACAGCAGCCCAAGGCCAAGTGACAATAGTCACTGCCATCTTCTGAGTCTTGGGGAGCCAGCCTGGTGGAGGATATAGGAATCCGGTCATCCTGAGGCAGGTAAGCAGGTGGCTCTCCCCCCAATTCTGTACACCCTTCTGGCAGCACATCCTTGGAGCCCTGAGCCCCCAGGAGGCTGGTCCCACTGCCCTCTTCCTCCTCCTTCTCCATGCCTGCAGACTGCTGGCCAAAGGTGAGCATCGCAATGGCATCCTGGACACCAGACTCTGAGACTCCTTGTGGGGTGCTGTCCTGGCTCCGCTGTACACTGGCTCTGTGGGCGCCCACCCAGGTCTAGAACAGAGCATGGGAGGAGGGAAGGGCTCAGGCAGCATGCTGAGGACTCCTCAACAGCAGCAGCCTCCTCCCCCGCAGGCCCAGCCTCCCTCTTCCTCCAGGAAGCCCTGCTGACATGCACACCCAGAGGCCAAGCAGCACCTGTGTCCAGAACAGTCTGTCTTCTCCCCATATGCCAGCCCAGCCTCAACATGGGACCCTGAGTCCCTTCAGGCCCCTCACCACTTTCCCAGAATAGGCCTGGTGCTCACAACCTGAATCAGGGAACAGATGGTGACAGGTGCCAAGGACAGAGCAACCCCTGACAGCATGCTGTCCCAGGACTTCCAGCAGCACAAGACTGGGCCCCTCCTACTATGAAACCAATTTATAGCTTTCATATGAAAGCTATAACCCAACTATAGCCCAAGAAGAAGGGGAAAGAGGAGAGGAGAGGGAGGGGAGGGGAGGGGGGAGGTTGGGTGGAGAGTAGGTAATTGGTGGGAACACACCTATGGTGCATTTTACAGGGGTACATGTTAAATTTACTAAGTGTGGAGTATACGTGTCTTAACACAATAACTAAGGAAAAAAAGAAAAAAAAAGGACTGGGCACCCCGCCCCATGCCTAACCTACTCACACACACTCACACACACCCACACACAAGACAGGAGATACTGTTAGGACTGGCAACTTTCAAAGTGCTGGGCTAAGGCCAGCAGATCTGGGTCCTTCTGTTGGGCCGCAGAAGACGACTTCCTCCGAAAGGAAGCTGTTCCTTCGGTAGGACTAGGAGTCTCCACCAAATGCACCATGCACACCATACCCCATCACTATGCTGCTCCCTGGAAAACCACGCCATGGCATGAGAACACCACATGGGGTATGAGGGGAATAACCCCTGGAAGGAGCCTGGTTTATAGAGAAATACCAGTCCCTACAACAGGATACAGTCCAGGGGCTGATCACAATCTCTGCCTTGCTCAGCCCTGTCCCCAGCTGCATGGGGCTCTGGAGAGTCACATCCACATCTAGGGGAAAGGGAGGCACTCTCTCAAGAACCAAGTGCTGAGTTTTAACCTTCAAATTATATTTTTGGGCAATAATCTTGAAAACTAGGGTCCCCATTGAAAGAGAAAAGGATTTTTCTGTACAGGAAGCTAGAGACACAGGGTGGAAGAGATGTCCTTGCCCCACAGAGTCCAGGCAAGTGCTGGGGCACCAGGATGGGAGACCGTGGGGAGAGGGGGTCAGCTTGATACAGCTCCCAGAGAGTGGACCAGCACCACCTCCTGTCCTTTGCTCAAAGTAAGGAGCCTCAGGAGAAAACCAAAGACCACCCACTAGAGCTCTCCTCTACCCTTCCTCCCATCCAGGGGGCATGAACTGCCAGCCCAGCAGGGAGGAGAGGAGTCTGCACAGACTCTCTGTGTTGCTCACACTGGCCCTGGCCTAAGAAAAACCACAAAGGGGAAATGTAGAGTCTACCCCTAAACCACGGTGCCAGCTCCCCAGGGGACTAGGGGGAGATAAACACTCCACACGGGCCACCAGAGCAGAAGCCCAGGGGCCAGTGGGGGCCCCAAGGACAGTATAAGCACCAGAGATCCTTCCCCATGGGTATGCCCAGTCCGAAGGAGGAGGTGAGACACATGGTGGGTGCAGACAGTCCTATGTTTGCACCTTGAACCCACTTACCTCAGCTGCAAACCAGAGGGAAGAGAGATAAGTCCTGAGAAAATTACATTTTTCTATCAACCATGAAACTGAAGATAAGAGAGCAAAAGGAAATCAGCAATGAAAAACAAAGCTAATTTGTTTTGCCCATTTGAGGCCCAGTCAGGTAAAGTGTAGATTTAAATCCATTATATAAGGCCAGGGGCGGTAATCCTAGCACTATGGGAGGCTGAGGCCAATGAATTGCATGAGCTCATAGGTTCAAGACCAGCCTGAGCCAGAGCGAGACCTTGTCTCTACAAATACCTGTGCGTTGTGGCAGGTGCCTGTACTCCCAGCTACTTGGGAGGCTGAGGCAAGATAATTGCTTAAGCCCAAGAGTTTGAGGTTGCTGTGAGTTATGACACCATCGCACTCTACCAAGGGTGCAGTCACAAGGGTGACAAAGTGTCACTCTGTCTCAAAAATAATAATAATAAATAAACCATTACATATACACAAATGGCTCAAAGCATCAACAAGGTCCCCATGCTACCCCCAAGCCTAACCAAAGCCTACATCCTGGGCTGGCAACACAGCTGGACCTGCCCCAGGCCCACAGCTGCCACAAGACCCCACGAACCTGGAAGTTCCCACCATGCACACTGTAGAGCGGCTGGAAGAATGCAGTCGGAGAAGGCACGTTCCAGTAGAAAGTTCTCTTCACCCTGAGGCCAGGAGAGGACAGTCAGAGGCCTAGAGGGACCAGGAGGGGCTCCTCCTGAGGTCTGAGGTCACTGCAGGGACGGCATCTCCCTTCCAACCAGCAGATGTCCCAACCGCCTCATCCCTGCCTCTGCCTGCACTAGCTGCATCCAAACCCTCTCTCCCTACAGGAGCAACACCGCCTGTGGCCTGGACTGCGTGAGCTGTGATATCATGCAGGGGCGATCAGTGGCCAGCAGGGGGAGCCAGTACCCCCACACCCCCAACACCGGCTGCCGTCAGCAGGTCTGCAGCTTCCATCCCTCCCGGGTCTCCGGGAGCGCTGGTCCTGCACGCACAGAACCCTGTGATTCTCCCGCGAGGATATCTCCCAGGGTTCCCACCCAGCAGGTTCAAATCAACCTAACCTAATGAGTCTTCAATGGGTTCCCCTCTGCTCTCCACCTTGGGGCTGTCTCCTCTGATCCCAGTCTCTCCTCCTAAAACCCTGGGAGTTTCTCCACTTCACTCCATCTCTGCTTCTCTCACAGACTCAAGACAAATCAGCTCTCCAGGTAACCCACGGTCCCCAGCCTCCCAGCAGTCTCTCATGTCCCCTTGGACCCACCAATCCTTTCTCGAAAGAAACTGAATACAACTCAATTTCACACTTTTCGGCACTGCCCTCTTCCTGCATCCTCTCTACCACCTGATATGGTGCGGGTGACCCCTCTTGTAACCTGACATAGGTATTTTTGTTTTTTGGTTTTGGGGGTGGGGGGTTTGAGACAGAGTCTCACTATGTTGCCCTGTGTAGAGTGCGCTCACATCACAGCTCACAGCAACTTCAAACTCTTGGGCTTAAGTGATTCTCTTGCCTCAGCCTCCCAAGCAGCTGGGACTACAGGCACCCGCCACAATACCCAGCTATTTTTTGTTGCATTTGTCATTGTTGTTTTAGCTGGCCGGGGCTGGGTTCAAACCCACCAACTTTGGTGTATGTGGCTGGCACTGTAACCACTGTGCTAGGGGCACCAAGCCCTAATGTGGTTTATTTAAGAAGGGCCCTTGTCTGTCTGGTTTTCTAAGGCATCTGCCAGGCCTGAGAACAGGATCCTGTGCACACCAGATGCCCCAAAGTGCCAAACCACTAAATAGCTTCAGAGGCAGGACACAGGGATCTCAGGCTTTTGGTTTAGGTGACTGTGAGTGTGACTGGGACCTAGCTCATTGTTGGAGCTGCCACAAATCCCCCTCCCCTTCTCTTCCCTGGCAACTTAAGAACCCCTAACTGGCCCAGGGTGGAAACTCAAAAATTACCCCCATTCAGGACCAGAAGGAGAGAGTAAAGGAGGGATTGGGATTGGCCCTTGACACACCTCCCCCCACACTCACACATGCACACACTAATGCATTCACACACATGCACTGATGTATGTGTGCATGCAATGATGCATTCACACGTGCACTAGTGTGTGTGCACACTAATGCATTCACACACATGCACTAATGTATGTGCACATGCATCAAATGAATGCATTCAATCACGTACTAATGTATGTACATACACACACTAATGCATTCACACACATACACTAATGTATACACACACACACATTGGCTACCTACCTGGGCGACACCTTGAAGAGGAGGTAGGTCAAGGCACTCATCAGGAGAAAGATGGACACAACAATAAGAGTGCTATCTGGCCGAACCCAGAGTGGAAGCAGGGGGTCTGTGGGCAGGAAGGGCCAAGGGATGTCTCAGTGCCAGGAGGCTCCTCAAAACCACATGGCAGAGGAACCCCCATTAGTGCCCTGGGCCAAAGTGGAAACTGTGTGATGAGCCTGCAGGTTTGTGTCTGAAACACAAACACTTGGTGCCTGCTGAAGTGTTAGACCTTGGGAGATTCACACCCTTGGATCTCGCTCTTCTCCTGTACCATCAGACCAGTCATCAGGTCCCTGAGCCTTCCCAGGAGTACTGTGCACAGGGTCAGCCTCACCCTTACTAAGGACACTGAGGTCACATCTCACCTCCACACAGAGGCACCAGCTCTGGTGTGCAGCCCTGGGCCACTCCCACTAATGACACCAATAACTACAGGTTCACAGGAAACCTGAGGGTGGGCCAGTGTTTGTTTCCTCCTCATACATCTCAGACCTCCAGGCAAAGGAGCCAACTGGGGCACGCCAACCTCAGGGAGGGGTCCAGGAGGGGGAAAGGGCAAAGGAGTGGGAAGAACAGGGCAGAGAGGACCCAGCCCAGACTCTGGAAGTGCAGCAGCCACAGCACCCACCTGGTCTCCCAGGGGAGGAGCAGCACACCGGATGGCTCCACTCACTCCACTGGCCAGAGTACAGCGCTCCGTCTGCCATGTCCTCCTCCAGGGTAGCCATCTGGACACGAAGCCTGGCCTCATAGGTGAAACCAGGGTCCAACTCAATGGCCTCAAGTATGAGCCAGGTCACCCCAACAATGTGGTCCTTGTGCTGTGCCCACTGTGGAGGAGAGCATGAGGAGGGGCTGGGTCCCTCGGCCCTTGAGAGTGTACATACATGCACACACGGGTGTATTTGCACACACTCAAATAACACAGACACACCTGTGTTCACATGTGAATACACCTATGTACACACAGGCACATGTCTACAGGCACACTTGAATGCACACTCATCCACACAGGTGTGTGCACAGACACCATACTCACTATAGTCACACACATTCATGAACACAGACACACCCATGTGCCTACTCACACATACAACAAAAGGCACTCATATATATGTATGGCTACATAAACATATCTGTGTGCACACGCATAAGCACACATGCACAATCACCACACTTACATGCACTCACTTACAGAGACAAATACACTCACACTCATCCTGCTCGCACACACACAGGCCTGCACACACTGCACACACCTGCATCCATACACCTAGCTCTGTCCCACCCACACTTCAAGCTGACACCCCCCTATGAGAGTAGAGATATGCCCAGAGCTGATGATCCCAGGGGAGAGCGGCCCTACTGTTACCTCCCAGGCCTCCTCCTGCCTTTTGAAAGCCAGCTCATAGCTGAGAAGTGTGGTCATCGGCTCCAAGGCAGGACTGATGTTCCAGGTCAGGATACAGTACCCAGAGCTGATGTTGCTGTGCAAGTCAGAGGGTGGGTCCAGCTTAACTGGAACAGAGTGAGTCCATGTGAGGCCAAAGCCCCGTGGGTCCAGGTGTGCCAGTCAACACACCCAGGACTGAGGATCTGAAAGATGCACAGGGTCGAGGTCAAGGCCATCTCAGATCAGGCACTTCCCTAGGAAACTGTCCCAGAAAAGCCTCAGGTGGAACAGGATGGCAATGACTTCCTCTAGCACCTGCACCTGGACAAGATGCTTTCTAAATCTCGCCTTCCCTCTTCCTTCACAATCTGCTGCTAGAAGTTCTTTCCAGCATCTTACTAAAGTCCTTCCTGCTATGACTGAAGTGTATTTTACATGACTCAAACTGCAGTCCTTGCCCCGGCTCACAGCCTTGTATCTCTGTCCTCTGCCAAAACCCTGTCCCCACAGTAACCACATGGGCCCTCCCTTCCCAGAGGTCCAGCCTGCTCCCCATCCCAGGCTTCACTTGGCAGGGACTGAGGACACTCACTGGGCCATAGGGTCACAGGCTACAGGACCCTGTTTGAGTCCCCAACCAACCAGGACTTTGCTGACAATGCCTCTGCTCTAGGCCTATGGCCACCCCCACTCACCATGTCTCCGGGGCAGGTACTGAGGGTCCACCAGACTGACCATCTCCTTCCCCGAGATAAAGTGGTGGAAAGTGATAGTGAAGTTGTCAGAGGGCACGAGCACCTCCTCGGGTGGCAGCTCCACAGTGCACTCGGTGCCCTGGAAGATGCACCTATGAGAGCTGCCAGGTGCCTGGTTGCTAAATGGGAAGTTCATCAGTGCCAAGGGACTGCCACGCCATCCTGATCGCAGATGCTGCCCCATGGGGGCCCCACCTGACCCCTGCCCTATACCTAAGCCTCCACCCTTACCTGGTGAAGAGGAGCCAAGGGCTGGAGTCTTGGCCTGGCTCCGGGGAAGACCAGTGGCAATCAATCCTGAGGATGTTGTTGGTGAGGCAGGTGAATGTTCCAGCCCATGGCTCTGGGGACAGTGACCATGTTGGTGCTTCAGGGAAGAATCAAGCCAAGGGTAGGGGAGGATCTGACAGCTGACATCCTAACAGGGCGGTCACCAGAGAGCAATCCCAGGAGAATCCTTCAAGGCAGGGCTGAAAGGCTTGGGAAGTGACAGGCTCCAACCCACGGTCCATGGGCAAGTCAGGCCCAGAGGGGCACCAAGAGGATGGTGTTGGGGAGACCAGTGGCAGCGGGGCTGAGGTCCAGGCTGACCCCTGAAGGACATGGCCAGCACAGTTGGGCTAAAACCTTTTCCCTGAGGCTTGACAGAGGGCAGCTCTGTCCACCAACTGTGCCCTAGTTCTCCCCCCACCTCACAGATGCTGATGCTGGCCCTCACCTCCTCCTTCCTGCAGGACAGAGGCTCCCAAGTGGACACAGGTGCAAATACAGGTGCAGGTCAATAGCCAGGTGCTCACATCTCGCCTCAGGGCCTCACTCTTCAACATCCAACCTGCAAGGGACCGGGGTGAGGGACCTGTGGCAGACACCTGTGAGGTGCCTGATCTGAAATGGCCTTGACCTTGCCCCTGTGAATCTTTCAGATCTCCAGTCCTGGATGTGTTGACTGGCACAGGTAGACCCATGGGCTTTGGCCTCACGTGAAATCACTCTGTTCTAGTTAAGCTGACCCACCCTCAGACTTGTAGAACACCCCCTGGGAAGGAAGGTCCCCATAAGGTCCCCCAGGGCAGAGTGCCCAGAGTCGGTCCTGTGAAAGAGGCTGTGCACTGCTGTCCAGGCTTTTTTTTTTTTATTTTGAGACAGGGTCTCATTATGTCACCCTCAGTAGAGTGCCGTAGCATCACAGCTCAAAGCAACCTCAAACTCTTAGGCTTAAGCGATTCTCTTGCCTCAGCCTCCCAAGTAGCTGGGAATGCAGGCTCCTGTCACTACGCCCAGCTATTTTTATGTTGTTGTTATTGTTATTGTTGTTGTCGCTGTGTTTAGCAGGCCTGGGCCAGATTCAAACCCACCAGCCCCAGTGTATGTGGCCGGCACCCAATCACTGAACTACAGGCACTGAGCCCACTGTCCAGGCTTTTCCAATAAGAGACTGAAGCTCACAAGGGTCATTGACCTGACCAAGACTTGTGGGCTACACTGTGTAAGACGCACCCTCAAAGTCAGATCTCTTGATGGGTCCTGCACTCAACTAGGTCTCAACGTCTGTCTGAATAACCTTTCTGGGACCAGCATCCTCTTCTAGCCCCTCCTCTGTCCCCAGACCCAGGCTCTGTGCTTCAGGGGAGCCACAGTTGAAGTTACCGAACTCTTCGGTGCCACACCCTGCTCTGACTGCAACGTGTATTTTCTATTCTAATTGTCACACCAGCTCTTCAAGGGAGAAAGACTGTCCCTATCTACAAAGAAGCTGAATCCCAAGGAGTGAAGTGCCTTGCACAGTGTCATACAGCTAACCTCCAGGCATTCTCTGTCTCTGTTGTACCCTTAAATAAAGACCTATCCCAGGGTTCTACCTCAGGAAAGGGGAGAGGATAGCAATAGGGCGTCCATGCTACAAATGACACTTCCTAAACTCTGTCACATCCCTGTTCTGAGGCAGCCTGTAATGGAGAGTGCCCCCAGAAGGGCAAGGCTCTCAGTTGCTGGAGCACCAAGCCCCAGGATCCCTGGGGGTACCAGAGGCGGCTAGAGATGAGGGGCTGGGTGTCAGGAAGCGCCTGGGTGTGGAAGGCTGCTGATGCCCTATCGCCCCATTTTCAGCTTCAGATGGTACACTGATAGCCCCTGGGCAGGAAGCGGGGCCAGCCGGGTTATGCAAGACTGATCAGTGATAAGGAGAAGAAGCAACAGACATGCACACAGACCACAGCATGCACACGCTCAGGGAGCCTGCACACCCTCCGCGGCAGCCTAGCCATGTGCCTGCAGGACAGACCCCTGCCAAGACCAGTGATCAGGAAGCACTCTCATCCTGCGCTAGAAAGGGGCGTACAGCCTGGCACCACCAGCCACAGCAAGAAAGACCGTGACTAGCTCTCCACAGCAGTATCTGTCCCCTCTTGCAGCAGTCACCGTCACAGTGGGGATGGGAAGGAAAGGCAAGCAGTCTGCCCCTGGGTGTGAGAGGGCAGAGCAAGGCTGAGCCCCAGCACCGGGGGGAAGCTCAGGCCAGCAGCCACTTCCAGGCTGAGGGTAGACAACCACAGCCCCAGCATTGCAGGGACACCCACCTCTGTGCAGAATCAGACCTGCCCAGCCACAAGCTGGCCCAGGAGAAGACGGGAAGAGAGCAGGGAGTAGGCGCCAAGCTGAGCATGTCCTGTTGCTAGAACAGGGGGCTGGAAGGGGTTGGCCATGACCCTCGTGTGACACCTGAGAGCTACAAAGCAAGAGGCCAGGACTCACCCTGGGGGAACACCAGAGAGCTGGACACAGCCATAGGCAACTTCCATCTGTACCTGATAAGCTGGGCAGGGCAGGGTCACCACCCTCCTACAGACAAGGAAACTAGGCCCAGAGAGACCTGTGTCTTGCCCAGTACCTGGCACCTGCCACCTCTGTTCTTGGCAGCGCCCACACCAGCACTGTGAGCTTCCAGAGAGCAGGGCCAGGAAATGCCCCTCAGCACATGCCCCACGGAAGGCTCCACACATGCTGTCTAAATAGGGGGATGCTGCGGCCAGAGCCCAACACCCCCCTCCCCCAGGGCATCACTGGTCTCTCTCCTGTGGCTCCTCAGGCACGAGACAGGACATTAATGAGATGGAGTCACCCCATCCTTAACCACAGACACTGGGCAAGGCAGTCAAGGCAGCTGCAGACACGCCACCAAGTGCTCCCTGGTCCTGGACAGCACCAGGGAGGTCTGAACACAGCTCAGACAACACTAGGTCACAAGATGGTTGTGAGAGCAAGAGGAGAAGCCAGTGTCTGCCACCTGGGATACTGCTGTCCTGCGGGGGAGCCTGGCTGACATCTCTCCCAGCATAGCCTCTCCCCTCTTGGGTATGTGGACATGGCCTTCAGGCTATGGCCACTCTGGTCCCATCTCAGAGCCCCACCTCCTCTGTGGTCTCAGGGTCCAGATCTGGTCCAGACTGCACAAGGCCCTGCATCCTGTCTGTCCTAGCTTCCTGGAGACTGTCCTGCAGCTGGATTCCTGCCTCTGACCACAGGCTCCACCACATCCAGAGGAGGATCTCTGGACAGGCTCAGCCCCTCCCCTGCCCTGCCCACATGCCCAGAGCACACACCTGATGCCTGGAACCTCAGGCCGGAGCAGGTCGCTATCACAGGGCTGGCCAGGTGGCCCTAGGCTCCCTGGTGCCTCACAGCACACTCTCCAAGTTGGTGTCACACGTCATCCATCCACTTACTGAGCCACAGAATCTATCTTATATGGCTTGCTGGCAGGGGCAGGGTGATATCCTCAATCTTCTTCCAACCCACCCAGGAAGCTGGAGATATAGAGGTGGATAGGATGGAGGTTGCTATTTAAATGAAAACTTATCCAGCACGGTCCCCTCTCTGCTGGGTGAGGAGGAAGAAAAGCAGACCCTGGTTCACCAAAAGCAGCTGGGGCCCGGGGGCCATGGAGGCTGTGTCAGAAAATGGGGCTGGGAATGGTAGCGTGAGCCAGCTCCCAATCCAGCCACACAAGGGCATACAGGCCTCCTCTGGCACCTATGGGAATCCCTGATGCTGTTTGGTACAGTATACAAGGATGATGCTGACAGGGGTCAGGGAGCAGACGGGACAGAGACAGGAAGGCCAGCTGAAGGCAAGTACAGAGACCACAGCCAAAGAGGACAAACCAGACATTCTAAGGGAAGGTGCAGAGAAGGCAGTGGAAGAGGGAGACAGCACCACGGAGCATCTTCCACACTTTCTAAGAAGGGGAAGGGGACTGCTGCTGCCAGAGATGCAGAGAGGGATTGAGTGGACAAAGGCACGGAGCAGGGTAGAGGGGGCAAAGGGCAATTGAAGGTCAAAGGAACACAGAGGGATGATGAAGGGGGCACTGTCCCCTCTGCCTGGCTTCCTTCCCATCACATGCCTCTCCCTTCATAAAGCCATTGCCCAGCCCCCCATCCTCCCTTCCCAGTCAGATGGCCCCTGAGTCAGGCCCAGCCCACTGGTGTTCCACAGAACCCTACACTGACGAGGCCAAGGGCTGGGCAGGGAGCACAGGCCAGGGCTAGGGCTAGGGCCAGGGTGTTGACACAGCTTTCTCCAGGGGTCTGTCAGTTAGATGGGGAAATGCTGCCCCTACCCTTCCTGCTCTCTTGATGAGGAGGCACCTGCATGCTGCATCCCCCGCTCAGCACTCCCCTTTGCCAGCTCATGCAGCCCAAACTCATCACTAAGCTGCATCCGCACATGAGACTCCTTGGGGATGAGATACTGTCTGGTTGATGTTGCACCCTCTGCACCCACGACTGACTGCTTAATGCATGCTTCCCAGACCTCCCTGCAGAGGCCACCCTGCTCTCCGGATGGTGCTCATGCTGTGGGCACGGGAGGTGCTCTGGGATGTCACTTGAATCTCACTGAGCACATTCCCACCCTTGACCTTGCATGGCTAAGCTCTGGCCAGCCGGTGAATGTAAAACAGTATGAGTCACAGAAAGAGTAAATGGGGTCAGGGAAGGGTGAGAAGGACCCCAACAGGGCCCATGTCCTCAAGCTCTTCACAAGAACAAACTAGTCCAAACCTCAGGAGATGGAGAGGGTGAGGCTCCTTCCTAAACACACCTCTCCTTTCCTTCCTCCAGGGGGCTGAGTTGACCCTCCTGCAATCCCACCCTCCTCGGCTGCCCTCCCACCTGCCTCCACTAGAGCATCCACACCCTCCCAGCTCCTCATCTGCCCTAAAGCCCCACAAATGCCTGGGGATTTGGAGGGGCTTTACCAACCCTGGATCCTGGACCTCAGCTCCACCTCATGGCCATCACAGCTGCCTCTATCTGGCCTCAGTCCTCACAAAGTTCAGCTCAATCATCGTGGAAGCAAAGTTTCTTCTGTAATTAGAAATTCTGGCTGATAAGTACAGTGCCCTGCCCTCTGTCCAACTGGGATGCAGCCACACTGGCCATAGGTGGCACACACAACCCCCACAGGCCCAGAAATTCATTTCTCATTCTCATGGTCAGAGCTGCAAATGTTGCCATCTAAGTGAGATGGGACATCAAAAGAAGTAATTAAGGTGGTGCCCTCAAATGCCACACTTCCACAGGCTGGCTGTTCCCTGGGCCCAGGGACAGAAGGCCACTCATCCCTCTCTGCCTCCTAAAGTTCACACTGCCTTAAGAGGTTGGAAAGTCCCAAGTACAAACTCACCTTCCCAGATGGATTTGCCTGGTGCCATCACAAGTCTAAGGCACCTGGAGGTGACTTGTCACCCAGCTGTCCCTGGGTGCATAGCAAAGCCCCTCAGCCTGATTCAGGAGATAACTGCAGCAACTTGTGACGTGAGCCGTGCACAGCAGGCCGCCCACATCTGAAACCACGAGTGCATCATAGAGCTGCTGTCCTGAGTAGAGCTGGGAAGTGACTGTCACCACCAATCATGTTAAGTCAGGGAATTGTGAGGTGAGACAAGCTTTCATTCTCCACAGTACTCAGGATTGCCAAATGTGGACATCAGTGATCTATCTCTTGCCTGGCAAGTGAACATCCCTGTGTGCCTCCCAAGAAACGCCACTGAGATGCATTCCACCAGTCCAGGAGGACCCTGGCCAGGCACAGAACAGTGGCCTTGAACCCTTCCACACTTTCCCAATATTAGAGGTGCAGGTTCTGCTGTCACCCTTCCACCTTCTTGTTCCTCTGGCTATTTGCAATGTCTTTCTAGGTCAGGACATAAAAATCTACCTCACATCTTTAATGGCAGTATATGCTGTGCTTTAATAATCCCTGCAATGGACATTTGGACTGTTGTCTGCATTCACTGTGTTTTTGTTTTTTTTTTGAGACAGAGTTTTACTATGTCTCCCTCAGTAGAGTGCCATAGAGTCACAGCTCACAGCAACCTCAAACTCTTAGGCTTAAGCAATTCTCTTGCTTCAGCCTCCCAAGTAACTGGGAAGACAGGCCCCCACCACAATGCCTAGCTATTTTGTTGTTGTTGTTGTTGTCATTGTTGTTTAGCAGGCCTGGTGGGTTCAAACCCACCAGTCCTGATGTATGTGGCCGGCATCCTAACCACTGAGCTGTGGGCACCAAGTCTGCATTCGCTATTTTAAGTAAAGGTAAGGAACAATTCTGGGTGTGGATGTTCAATCAACAGAATGAGCATCTCTGTAGAAAAAAATCACTGGGGGTACCATGGAATGCTATTCAGCCATTAAAAAAGATGGAGATGGGCAGCACCTGTGGCTCAGTGGGGAGGGCGCCAGCCCCATATACCGAGGGCGGCAGGTTCAAACTTGGCCCTAGCCAGCTAAAACAGCAGTGGCAACTGCAACAAAAAATAGCTGGGTGTTGTGGCAGGCGCTTGTAGTCCCAGCTTCTCAAGAGGCTGAGGCAAGAGACTCGCTTAAGCCCGAGAGTTGGAGGTTGCTATGAGCTGTGATACCATAGCACTGTACCGAGGGTGACAGAGTGAGACTCTGTCTCAAAAAAGAGAAAAAAAGGGTGGAAACTTTACATCTTTTGTATTAACATGGATGGAAGTGGAACACATTATTCTTAGTAAAGCATCACAAGAATGGAGAAGCATGAATCCTATGTACTCAATTTTCATATGAGGACAACTAATGACCTAGTAAGCGGTGGGGGGTGGGGTGGGGGAAGGGGAAGAGCAGGGGGGAGGGAGGGGAAAGGAAGAACAGAGAGAGGGAAGGAGGGAGGGGGTGGAAGAAGGGAAGAGTAGAGAGTGGGAAGGAGGGTGGGGTCTCAGTGTGTGGCAAACCTTTTGGAGGCAAGACAATTAAAGAGGGAGTTTACCTAACAGATGCAATCAGTATAACCTGGTTCTTGTACCCTCAATGAATCCCCAACAACAACAACAAAAATCGCTAGGGGTAGAATTGCGGGGTCTCAGGGTTAGCATTTTAAACTACTGATACATCAGTGTTCGGCTACTCAGGTGGTAGAGCCTGAATCTCTTACAATACTGATAAAGGCTTCTGTAGCTTAGAACCATAATCCCAGCACTTTGGGAGGCCAAGGTAGAAAGAGCAGCAGAGTCCAGGAGTCCAAGACCAGCCTGAGAAACATAGTGAGACCCTGTCTCTCAAAAAATAGAAAAATTACCTGGGCATGATGGTGCTCACCTGTAGTCCCAGTTACTCAGGAAGCTGAAGCCAGAGGATCACTTGAGCCTAGGAGTTGGACATTGCTGTGAGCTATGATGACACCATTGCCCAGGCAATAGAGCAAGATCCTATCCCCAAATAAATAAATACTGATAAATACTGCCAAGTGGCCGAACAAAGATTTTGCACAAACTTCTACTCTCACCAACACTGAATATTATCAGGTTTTTTTTTTTTTTTTT